TACCGTGACTCCATTCTTTCCATCTTCTCTCCATGCTTCCTGCATCATTCAATAGTTTGTCTATAGGATCTTTCAGATCAGCATCGTCTCCCGAAACACCCGGCATAGTGCTGCTTGTTGTTAGCTGGCATGATGCTAGAGATGTTGTGGGAAAGGAGCCAAGGAGCCATAGAAGTCCAGCATTGCTGCTGCAGTCGCTACTCTGCCCTCGGACTTAACCCTGCGGACTGAGGGCCTGGCCACCTGAGATTCTGGGTACGCGTAATCTGCCCTGCAGGTAGCCAGGAGGCTGGATCCACCTCTGCGAAGGGCCGGTGAGTGGCAGGATGCGGCATAGCTGCCCTGGAACCAGGCCTCCAGCTCTCCGTCTGGACCGAGACTCCAAGAAAGCTTCTGTCTCAGTTTTATGAATAGAGGAAACATTTTTAAACAAGAAATAACCTCTTAAAGCTTTAGTTCTGTGTCTATCATGTTTACTTTTTTTACTTCCCATGCTCGTCAGCGTTCACAGGTGTTTTCCACATGGATGCAGCAAGGATTTACTTCGTACTTTATATCCTCCTTTTGGGGATAGGGGTGTGTGGGGGGGTCACTTAAAAAAACCCCACAACAACTGCATTGAGCTATAATTAACACGTACAATTCCATAGTTCAGTCATATCAAAAAGGGTTGTGCAGTCATGGCCACAATCAACTTTGAAACATTGTCTTCCTTCTATCCATTGATGTTGATTCCCCCGTTTTCCATACCCTCCCCTAACATGCCTGCGGGTAACCATCAATCCAGCCACGGTTGTAATTCTACGCATCTCCATTTCCGTTTCCCTGAAGCCTTCTTCATCACTGCTGTAGATCAACTCCAGAACATTGGGCTCAGCACTAAAGTCTAGTGTTGAATGAATAGATCGGTCTGTTCCTCGGAGATGAAAGGGTTATCAGGCTGTGTGAGTCTGAGGAGACTAGAGAAACAAATCCATAGACACTCATGTGTAAGAAAGAGCTTTATATACAAGAGCAGTTCAATATTGAGAAAACATCCCAGCCCAGTCCAGATCAAGTCCCATATTAGCCCTTATGTCCGACCCAATCTATAAAGTCCTCTTCAAACTCACAAAACACTTGCAATGACGGTGAACGCAGGAAGATCACAGGCCAGTGGGTGGGAAGTCTTGTAGATCTGGTGGCTTTTCCTGCTCCAAAGATCTGGCTCCATCAGCCTCTCCATGTGTCTTCTCCACAGGGATGTCTCGCAGTGAGTGAGCTGAGAAAGAGAGTGCCTCCCGCCTCCAAGGAGAAAAATACAGGCGTTCCCAGAATCCTCAGGAGAAGGCCATGCCCACACAGAGGCCTCATTGGCTATATCCTGATTGACAGGCTAGACTCTACCCCTATACTCTTAATCCTCAAATTGACACCAGATTATGTAACTACCACACAGGCACTTAGATTTTTTTTAAAAGCAATAAACTATAAATGATCATCCACACACTTGTTAATTCATCCATCCAGCACACTTGCATAGAGAAGGCACTAATTGCTAGGTACGAGGTTATGTGCTGGATCCATAAGAGCTCATCTGGCTTGGTCCCTGCCCTGAGGGATTCCTAGACGATTGGTAGATATGTAAAAAGACGATGCTAACACAGAAGGAAAGTGCCACGAGAGGTGGGGGGCAAGATGTCCCAGGAGCACTGAGGAATGAGGAGTGAGGGAGAGCTTTCTGCTGGAGCTGAGGCCTGGGCTCAGATGTCTGTGAGGATGGGCGTCCCGGAACTGGTTGAGATGCCTGGCTCACACCCCAGGAGCCAATTAGAGTAATTTGCTCTTTGTGCCATGTTTCTTCTCTGGGCTATTGTCCTTATCACCAAAGCTTCATTGGTGATGATGATACAAGTACAGTTCTGCAAAATAACAGTAATGGCATCCAATTGCTGAGCGGCTTCCTTGCTTTAGGCTGAGCACTTGATAGGCATTATCCTATTTTGTCTGCATAATAGCGCTGGAAGGTTTTCATGCTGCCGAAGATGGAGATTCAGGTATTTCCTCTGTTCGTAAGTAACAGCATTAGGACTTGTGTTGAGGTCTGAATGGCACATTGGAAGCCTGTGCTTTAAGCCAGCGGTTCTCAACCTGTGGGTTGCGACTCCTTTGGGGGGTCGAATGACCCGTTCACAGGGGTTGGCTAAGACCATTGGAAAACACATATTTCCAATGGTCTTAGGAACCGAGATACTGCTCCTCTATCCTTCTCCAGGCGGGTCCGTCCACAGGCAGATATGCCCACCTATGAGTACCGTGCGTGAAGACTGTCACCCATGCCACACTATGCTTCAAGACAAAATTTCATTTGTTTGTCATTAGAAATAAATATTTCACAATATATAATTATGTATTGTTTTGCGATTCATCGCTATGCTTTATGTTCAATTTGTAACAATGAAAATACATCCTGCATATCAGATATTTACATGACGATTCATAACAGTAGCAAAATGACAGTTATGAAGTAGCAACGAAGATAATTTGATGGTTGGAGGTTGGCACAAAATGAGGACCTGTATTCAAGGGTCTCGGCATTGGGAAGGTTGAGAACCCCTGCTTTAAACCCAACTCCACCATAGCAGATCTCAGTTACTTCGTGAGTTCTTACTACATGTCAAGCACCTGCCTAGGTTCTTACCTCAGGATTTTTGTCCTGGCGGCTTGTATCCTTGTCATGACTCCCATTGTACTCCTAAGGATGTTGGCTGAGGTCACTAGTCATTATGTTTACTTGTCTATCACTGCATAACAAAGGGCCCTCCGCTTGGTGGGCTAATACAGCGAACGTTGACGATCTCACAGTATCTGTGGGTTAGGAATCTTAGGAGGGCTTAGCTGAGTCTTTTCAGCTGCGTGCCACCTAAACGTACAGCCAACTTGTTGAGAGGGCCTGCACTCATCTGAAGGCTTGTTTGGGGAAAGATTTGATTCCAGACTCCCTTCTGTGGGAGCTGGCAAGACTCCGTGTCTTGCTGTACAGTCACCTCTACAGGCTGCTCAGACGTGCTCACGACACGCAGAGGCCTCTTTCCTGCCCACAGCTTCCTCCGGAGTGAACGATTCACGAACCCAAGACTAAGAGAGCCCAAGACTGCAGCTGCAATCTTCCTATAACCCGATCTCGCAAGTGATGCTTCATGACCTCTGCCATGTTTTATTTGCTAGAAGCAAGTCAGGGTGCTAGGGCGGGGAATCAAGGGGAGGGGTATCAAAAGGTGGACATAGCTAAACACAGCGACGACACGGCTAAGCAGAGGGTGTGCAGAATGACCGGCTCAGAGTCTGTGCTTCTGGGCTGCCGCTTGCAAGTTTCGTGGAAGATCCCAGCTAGGTACGTTACAGAAAGAAACCAGGTCCTGACCCCTTTGGCATTTACAATTTTCAGATGTGACCCCAAGAAAGTAAGATGGAAATAAACAAATGGCCAAATAAGGGGGGGGAAGAGGAGAAGTGGGGCGAGTTTGAGCTAGTTGGAGCAGTAGCCACAGGAAGTCTAAGGGCAAGCGAGCTTCACCTTTCACGAATGCAGCCCAGAGTGTCTTCTGGCTGAGCAGACCTTCACAATCAATGGGTGGAGAGAGGATTGCACTGTTCTCAGCAAAACTCAGCCGCGAATCTGCTTGTAGCTAAGTCCCTTCCCTGCGAGGACGGTCAGTGTGTCTGAGAGAGCTGCAGAGGCAATAAGGATGTTTTTCCCCCAAGCTGTGTCTGCACGGATCGTACGCACACATTCAAGACAGCTAATGGCATCATCCTGGCTCCCACACACTCACCACCCAGCACTTTCCCTGGGGCTTGGTTGCTATGGACAACCGGAGACCTTCTCCCAGTCACTCAGAACACTCCTACGTTGCTCAGTTCCAAAGACGGCAATATAGAAATGAGGTTCCAGGAATATGAAAATGGATCTTTTGGAAATGAACAGAACCCGCCACGCTGCGCTTCATTCCTCTTTAAAAACGACTCCAAGCCATTTTGGCTGGAGGTGGGCAGCTTCCTCCTGAGTCGTGTTGTCCTGGGTCCAGAACTCGGTGGGTGTAGGGAGCAGTCTGTTGCGGTGGGAGCCAGGAGTGACCTCTCCCCTGTATCAGGCACCTGGATAGGCACTTCCAGCTTGGTCATCTGCACAGATCTAGCCGATACCCTGGCAATAACCCACTTCATCCCTGGGAGTCGTGGCAGTCGCCCCCCCATTCACAGCTCCCCAAGGTGCATTCTTTCTACCATGACTTGGGAGCTGCTCTTTCTGCAATTGCTTTAAGCAATCATACAAGGGTGCTGACCTGATAATGCAAGCTAGCATTTATTTGTGGGAGCCCCGGTGGTGTCGTGGCTACACATTATCCTGCTAATCACAAGGTCTGCATTTCGAATTCACCAGCCGCCCTGCGGGAGAAAGAGGAGGCTTTCTACTCCCGAGAAGTGTCGCAGTCTCAGAAACCCACAGGGGCAGTTCTACCTGTCCCGTGAGTCTGCATTGCTTTGAGCATTTATTGACTGTGCTATTTACCACACAAGGAGTGGTAGGGATGCTGTGGGTTGGGTACTGGGCTAAGCTGGGCGGCTAACTGCAAGGTCAGCAGTTCAAACCCACCAGTCACTTCCAGGGAGAAAGCTGAGGCCGTCTGCTCCTATAAAGATTTAAAGTGTCGGCAACCCTGTACCGACGAGGTCACTGGGAGACAGAATTGACTTGATGGTTATTTACTGTGTCAGTTGCTTTATATTTCTCAAGCCTCTTGATACTCATATGAGAAATACCCTGTTTTCCTGATGTGACATGATGGAAATAAGGCCTTATAAGCGATTGATCTATTGGACTGATATTTGAGCTCAGGAGCGTTCAACTCCAAAGCTCATTTCCCCCCACTCGTCTTTCCCACTGGGCCTTGGCCTCCGTGGTTCCTGGTTCTCAGATCCCCGCTGACTCGGCACCCCGGCTGTCAATATGTGCCTAGACCAACCACTGCTCGGGAACCTGCTTGGACAAGTCTTCTGGATCCACCTCGACCCGCTTCTTCGGATGAACTCTTGGTGTTAGCCCTGCGGCCCCACGCACCAGGGTAAGAGAGACTCTTGCTTCCTGCCCTGGCCCGAGGGACCGACTGGCTGGGCCTGCTGTCTGCCCAGCATATCGGCCACAGAAGAGGGATTGGACATACATGCTGCTCTTGAAAAAGGTGCGCAGACCCCAGGTTGTTCTTCGACTGTGATGTTCACCCTCCGTGGAGCTTCTAGTGTTCATGTGGTCCTGAGGCCAGGCTAAGGGCCCCAATCCCCACGGGAGCTGAAATTCCTATTCTGTTCACTGATTGCCCTTTCCCCTGGCCAGTCCCTGGCACCTACTGACTCTCAGTGAGGACCGTCCACATGCTTTGACTCCCACTCTCTGGAAAACAGCCCAAGCTGCAGTCACACTGAAGGGACCAGAATCACATCTATGAGAGAGAGACAGAGACAGACAGAGAGAGAGAGAGAGAGAGAGAGAGAGAGAGAGAGAGCCTGCCTTACCCATGTATGAAAAAGCGTCTTGTTAATACCAGCAATAAAATAAATTCCCTCCCTTAACATCAAATAGCTTGTGCTCCGTCTGACTAATCTCCCTAGAGTCAGTGACCATTTGAATCTCCAGAATGAGAGTGTTTCTTGGTAGGTGTCTGAGAGCCACTGCTTACTGTGGTCTGGCTCACTCATGTTCTGTTGACCAGAACGCTCTATTCCCCAGAACTTCTGCCACCTCCATCGCCCATTGCAGTGACAAGTGAGATTACATTGGGATCCTGTAGCTACGTTAGGATCCTGTAGAGCCCAGCAAGACTCCCAAGCCCATTTCAGTTCTGGAGAGGGCTTCATATGTTCAGTGCAGCCTGGCTGTTAATCCGTATAGTCCATTGTGATTTGTTACGGTGGCTAGTTCTTCCTCGGGGTGACCTTGAAGGGTACATGTAAGTTTAAAGGAACCAAACTCCTGCCATCCAGTCGATGCTGGTTCATAGCGACCCTCCAGGACAGGGTAGAACTGTCCCTGTGAGTTTATGAGACTGCCACTCTTGACAGGAGTTACAGGAAAGCCCCGTCTTTCTCCAGTAAATGTAAATGGTGATTATTAAATAAACTGATTGACTCAGTCATCTCTTTAAAGGCATCACAAAACTTGGATGCATTGGGGCTAGAGGTGTGGAGCCCTGGTGATGTCCTGGTTAATCTGTTGGGCTGCTAACCACAAGGTCAGCAGTTTGAATCTGTGGCTCCTCAGGAGAAAAATGAAGCTTTCTACTCCTTTAGAGTTACAGTCTTGGAAACCCAAGGAGCCAGTTCTATCCTGCCTGTACCAGGTTGCTGTGGGTCGGAATCGCCTTGGTGGCAGCAGTGAGTGTGGAGTTTTGGTATTTCCCTCCCTGCGTGTGGGTTTCTAGAAATGTAAACTGAGGCTAGCAGGAGATAATCGCTCAAGTCTTCTATCTTGAAGTTTAGAATGTCAGAGATGTAATGCATGCAGACTTTGGGAAACACTCATTTTGGCTGCACTGAATTCCACGATCAGGTATCCATGGAAACAAGCATTTGTTAGTATTCAAGATGGGAAATTCCTGTCCCATCCCCCTTTTGGGGGGGCCCTGCATGATGAACACACTTTAGTAAGACCTGCTTTAAAATACCTGATTTTTTAGAAAATAAATCATTTTATTGGGGGCTCGTACAACTCATCACAGTCCGTCCGTCCGTCCATCCATCCATCCATCGTGTCAAGCACATTTGTACATTTGTTGCCATCAACATTTTCAAAACATTTTCTTTCTACTTGAGCCCTTGGTATCAGCTTCTCATTTCACCCCTCCCTCTCCCACCATCTCTCTCTCAAGAACCCTTGATAATTCATAAATTATTATTTTTTCATGTCTTACACTGACCGATGTCTCCCTTTACCCACTTTTCTGTTGTCCATCCCCCAGGGAGGGGGTTATATATAGATCCTTGTGATCAATTTCCCCTTTCCTTTCTCCCTCCACCTACCCTTTCCCCTCCTGGTATGGCTACTCTCATTATTGGTCCCGAGGGCTTTATCAGTCCTGGATTTCCTGTTTTTCCAGCTCTTATCTGTACCGGTCCATGTACATGCTCTGGTCTAGCCGGATTTGTAAGGTAGAATTGGGGTCATGATAGTGGGGGAGGAAGCATTAAAGAACTAGAGGAAAGTTGTATGTTTCATCGTTGCTATACTGCACCCTGACTGACTCGTCTCCTCCCTGAGGCCCTTCTGTAAGGGGTTGTCCAGTTGCCTACTGATGGGCTTTGGGTCCCCACCCCGCACTCCCCCTCATTCACAATGCTAGGATAAAAAAGCTGGTTTCTTGCTCCTCTGAGGGAGCCGGAATGTCTGCTTACTCCTGCTGCTTCCCACTGGCTCCCTGTGTTCAGAAACCGACCGTCCCATTCCCCAGAACCTCGCTGTTAATGCTGCCCCGTCCTCGTTAACGTGGGTCTCTCACGGGTGGTTGTATGAATTCAATAGCAAATTTGTTTTGAAAACCATGCCCTGTATTGTTTTTGTCTCTCTACTTTTCATGTAGACAGATGTACTCACTCTCAGACACGTGGTACGCTTTTGAAACGGTGAGGCTCTGTCACTGAACATCTGAGGGTGTGGCGGGTTTTCCCTGGCAGGACGGTGGCTTTCTGAGGCATCATCTTGAGGTACCCTGAAAGCTTTTTTTTCTCTTTAAGTTTAGACGAGAAGTCAGGTAGCCTGTGCGAAGAGTAAACGACCTTCCTCGTGGGGAGTGAGATAAGCTGGGGAGAGTGCTCTTTCTCTTTTTAAAATGTTTATTTGCGTTCCTCACTGTTCCCAGAATTGTAATTTGGTTTTCGAACTCGTTTCAAACAAAGACAAGGACACTCAGCCTTGTTCGTGTGCTCTGTACATGGCATTCTTTGCGCCTCCCACTCCCTTTTTACTAGAGCTTTGAATCCATTCCCTCTGATTCCCCGCTGCTGAGAAGTCTCGTCTCCACCCCAGACATCGGAATCCCACTCTGTATTTTCACCAGGGGCCTCTCCTGGCTTCCCCAGGTCATGCTTACAGAGCTGGCCTTTCGAAAAGCTAGACTCCGATTCCTCCTATCTGGGGTGGAAATGCCAATGCTCAGCAGGTGGCAATGTGAACAGAGATTTTTATTCACTGTTTCCGGGCTCCGTAAGGCTCCGCTCCTTGTCCAGGAGGGGGGAAAGACAAGTCACAGCACAATAGGAGCCTGGCTTTTACTACAGAATGGGGGTTGGGGATGGGGACTTGCAGGAGCCCCGAGGAGGGTCATGTGACGCAGACTTGGCGATCAGAGAACCTACTTGGAGAAAGTGACATGCAAACTGAGACTGGACAGCGAACCCAGACCTTTGCTGTGGAGTCCCGTGCTGACTCAGCTTGGCCCTGTAGGACGGAACAGAACTACCCCTTGGGGTTCCAAGGCTGTAATCTTGAGGGGAGCCGACTGCCACATCTGCTCCCACCGAGCGGCTGGTCAGTTCACGCCGCCCACCTTTCACCAGGGCCCTGGCAGGTGTGCCAGCAGAGGGCTCTGAAAGCGGGGGTGGGGTGGGTGGGTTCCCTGTCGAGGGCACAGCAGGCATCCTGTGGGTTTGTGGCAAGAAACTGAGAGCTGATTTTGTTCTGACTCACTCCCAAGAATCGCATTTCAGAGTAAGCCCACTCACTATTTTGCCTTTGGTCTGGTCTTACTGGCTCAAAGCTAGAAGAGCACTGCGCGTTGTCGGTGAGCTTGTGAATGCAGCGTGAGTCATGCTGCCTTGGCGGATCAGTGGGGCCTTGCCTGCAGTCAGCGAGATGTGCTCATTAGCCTCTTCAACAGTTCACGGATGCTTATGTAAGAATTACAGATGGGGAGTCATGTAGAATCCAGCTGCCCTTTTTCCTTCCGCAATGGCTGCTCTGACACAGAGCAGGGGACCCTCGGAGCTGGCGAGGCATTTAGGGACGTCAGCGGCAGACGGGTTATGTCTGCAAGTCACAGCAGCAGCACTGTGAGTCCTGCCTGCCTTTGGGATTCTCCAGAAGCTATACCCGAGTTTTGCCTTTGGCAATACTGGTCCCTCCCATTTGGCCAGGCAGCTGTGGATTAGCAGGTGACCCGTGAGTGAGCCTGCAAGGGGACTCTGGGGGGGATAAAGAACTGATTGTGAGCAGTGATGGTCAGCCCTGGTTTGGCCTCCCCACATCGTGGATAATGGTCACATGTGGCATGTGCTCTGGGGCGCTCACACAGATTCTGATGATCACCCCTCGCTCTTAAACTATCTGGTGGGGAAGTCGAGAGCAAAACTGGTCAATGGTACAAGGTACAAGAGCTTTTGACAAACGGTGTGCTAAGTCAGGGGTTCTCCATGCCTGAACCTCAGAACAAGAGCACCAGCCTCACGTTGGGATCGCTCGGAAAAACTCGCTAGAAACGCAGTTCCCAGGCTCTACTCCAGACCGACCATAGCAACCCGCTGGCGTCCAGTCAATTCTGACTCCTAGTAACCTGGGGGGAAGAGTAGAAGTGCCCCTGTGGATTTCCTAGGCTGTCAGTCGCTAGGGAAGGAGACTCAGAACAGTTGGTAGTTCTAACGGCGTACCCGGTCGGTGAGCAGCACGGCTCTTACTGCATCACCGGGGCTCCAGCCCTAGCGAATCAAGGAATTGCATTCTAAGGAGTCCTGCTGGTGATTCTGATGTGTCCTAAAGTTGGAGAACTACTAGTGTGAATCAGAGAGAGCCTGTGTGGCATAGCGGTTATGCTTTGGGCTGCTCGCCACAACGTCAGCAGTTTGAAACCCCAGCTGCTCCACAGGAGAAAGACGAGGCTTTCCACGCCCATAAGGAGCTGTTGTCTTGGAAACTCACAGGGGCAGCGCTGCCCTGTTCTCCGGGCTCATTACGAATGGAATAGATTCCATGGCCGCGAGCCTGGGTTTGGGAGGGTGAGTCGGTGCTGCAGACACCTTATCAGGAGGGACCAGTCCCCGCAGAAGGACCTCATTCTTGGTCGAGT